GCTGCCCATTACATGAACAGAGCAATAGGGAAGCTCATGAGGCGAGAGGACCAGGTCTATATAATATATATATATATATATATATATATATATATATATATATATCTCTATCAGTCTCGCTCTGGATCCACACGTGATTTTCACGAAAGGTAACCGCATGCCTCAACATGCTTATGCATGCCTCAACACTTGCTGTGTCTGAAAAGGTTATGTTGTGTTAGGTTTACTTTACCCATGGGGGAAAATCCCATTTTGATGTAAAGCCTTTTTAATTTGCTTAAAAGGGCCTGTTTGAGTCTTAAAGGATAAGTTCACCTTGTACATCCATATTCAGGATGGAATATGTTTCAATTGTACTGGAACCCCCCCACTTCATTCATTCACAGAGTTCTGGGAATGGGAGACTACAAATCCCAACAACCTTTTGCTGCTGTCGGCTTGTAGTTCTCAATGAACTACTACGGTGCTGTGGTAGTTCATTGATTCTTCATGTCAGTATGTATCTGCCTGCCCAAATGAGGTGCAAGCTGACCGATTACATTGACAGTCTGCAGGAGTCCTGCATGGCACCAACGATCTGCTGATCTCCAGTGCAATGCTATCCAGGCTCCCAACACAAAAATGGTACCTGCACTTTTTTTTGCAGGTAAAAAAAAAAGGTGCATTTTATTATTTTTTGTCAAAGGTAAACTTGTCCTCTGAAGGACAGAGGAATTTGGTGGGTGACCCAATCTTTAAAGACACCATTGGCCCACTTCCTCAAAACTCAAATGAAGGTATTAGCCAGAACTAACAGTTATTTGCTAACTGTACAGTGTTAAGAATCCATTAAGTGGGGTGATACAATCCTTTTTGTCTTTGTAATATTTGCAACAGGTCTTTTTTTTACCATGATTTTCTGAAAGATTGAAGTCAACAGGTGATTCTTGCCTGCAACTACTGAAATTGAAATATCTGATTTGGGTAGAATTGATCAATATTTGTAATATTTGATCCTTTGTACTAGATTAGCTTAGTAAAGGTCAATTGTGTACAGTAAATCATAGAAGCAAGTTGGACATCTTGTGTTTTTTTTTTTTTTTTTTTTTAAAGAGGCCAGTAAAGTTAGAAAAGAGCTGAAAGGAGAGAAATAACACAATTGATCTAATTAGGGATACAATCCTGTAAGGGAGACCGCTGACTTATCTGATGGGAATATGAGTGCAATGAACGCATTTTACAGGGAATGATTAAAACTTTTTTTTTTATAGAGGTGCACTGATTTGATTGCACTGACATTGGTTGATTATGTCCAAACTGATCCATCCATCCTTAAGAATGTTGGCAGGCTTGATCTTGCCCGATTTTGAGCTCCTAGATTTTACTAGCTTTATATGCACAAGCTTTGTTTTATGTCTCTTAACTGACTGTACAACTACAGTATGTAATGCATATACACATATTAAGAGGAGGTTTTTTTTTTTTTTTTTTTTTTTTTATAAGAATTTAATTGTCCTCTCTCTTTCTTTTGCTTTATAGGCCTTGGAAACTAGAAAACTTGTGCTTTAAATCAGGAGAACTTATCACAGAAACTGGCTTTATGAACCGGGTAAAGAGATCCAGAAATCTGATACTTACACTTGCACTTCAAATCTTGTGTAGAACGGTTTTGTTTTATTAAAGCAGAGGAAAAGCCTAACCCTATCTACTCTTATAAATGCTCCTACCTCCAACCTGCCCTTCCTAACCTGTACAAAAGTGTACATCAGCATACTTGCCTATTTTTAATTTGTCCCAGTCACATGATCCTGCAGCTCTGGCTCCCCTGTGCCAGTGAGCAGACTCTGCAGGGGATGGGAGGGAGCGCTGACAACAGCAGGGTTATGGGAGCCTACAGTCAGAGCTGCAGGATCATGTGACCGGACTAGAGCAGGTATAGGTTACAGGTTAGGCAGGAGAGGGAACTTGTTTAGGAATACTGTAGACCTAGTCTTTTCTTCCACTTTAAGTGATTATGAGTATTGTATTATAACCTTAAAGTTTTGGAAAGGTAAAGACCAAAGAATGCTTGATACATATAAGAATAATTAAATTGCAATTTATTGTCAGTTGCTTGTGCCAACTACCTCTGAAGTTACTTTTGTCAGTATGTGCTCATTATCTGTGTAAAGAAGAAAGATCATTACAATGTGTCATTTATCTCCGTAGATGACCAGGTGCATATAGCACTTTGTCTCGCTCAAATCTGTCCCTTAGTTTCTAAGCAGTGGGGTCAGACAGGAATCTTGTCAGCAGCTGCATCTAAATATACAGAGCCTTACCGATGGATCACAACAAGCTGCAGTGATGAGTGATATTTCAGTTTTATGAATGAATGTTCAGTACTGCTGGGCTATGTCATAGCACTGGTCCCAACATTGCAGATCATTCATTCACAAAAGTGAGAGCTCACACAGTGCTGTGTATGTGTAAAAGCAGCCGCAACTCTGTGTGATCTTTCAGTATTATGAATGAACATCTACTCTGCTTGTTCATTTATAATAGTGACAGATCCCTCCATAGCGGCAGCTCCTGTGTAATGGATTTGTGGCTAATTTTTCTTCAAAAAAGTTACTGCAGAAACTTTACACCAGGGGTAGGCAACCTTAAAGAGGTGGAAATCTACCTGAACAACATGGGAGAAGTCGAAGATCACCGGGCAGTGTCACCTTCTCACACCTGATTTAAACCTCTAATTGTATTAACGTGTTGCAATCACATGCATTGCATGGCAATCATGGGTTTAAATGATGTGGTGAGGAGGCAACATACCGCCTCACCACCTGTCAAACATGCTTGGATCACTTTTCAGAAGAGCAGTGAATGAGCCCTTAATTGCATTTAGCATCGGCACCCTTAGGGCTTGTTCACATGTAAAGTTGGGGAAGTTTGGCAGCAGCCAAAGGTGTACACATGCCGCAGCACTAATTAAATCTCCTGTTGCTTTTGGTAGGTGCTACCGCCTGCCAATCATAACCCATTCAAATAAATGGGGCCACTCTGTAAGTGTCCCACAACTGCATGCTTCTGACAGATCCAAGAGGTTAAAGCAGGTGGCGAGAAAGCAACACAACACTGCCTGCTTTAAAACTTTTTTTTGCTGTACTGCACAAGGTTGCAGGGCACTTGCAGAGGGGCTTCATTCACTTGATTGGGTAATGCTTGGCAGATGCTACACCCACCAACCATGACAGGGTGCATAACTCATGCTGCAGCTGTGACATGTGTACACCCCTGGCCACTGCAGCATAAAGGGGGTGCTGCTATTGCGGGGGTGGTGAAAACTTGTCGTAACTATGTGGTTTTACTACCCCCCAAACTGCAAAAATAAATGAACCCTTACTGTTCTGAGCCCCCTATAGGGCTGCTTTCACACTGGTGTGCTGTGGTTTACCTGCGCATATGCAGCGCAGTTCATCTGCGACTTTCCTGGGTTAGCTGTGCTTTGCCATAGACTTTTATTAAATCCTGCAGGTATGGTGAACTTTCAGAAAGTACCAAACCCTCAGGATATAATAGAAGTACAGTATATGGCTTAGTGCAGCAAACCCACAGGAAATCTGCAGGTACACTGCACTGTATCTGCGGTGTGGATAAACCGCAATGCATCATTGTGAAAGCAGCCCTATACTATTATGCCCAGTGTGTTGCCCAGTGAAGATCATTTCTTTTCTGCCGCTAACACCACTCTGGAGACCAGTAGCTGGCATAAGAGGTGGAATGCAGTTGGGATCACTCCGCATGGGACAAGAGCCAACACTACAGAGGAGGCATTGGGTTATGTGTCTGTTGGTCCCTACTACAGCTCCAACTTTACAAGTGGTCCCTCTGCATTGCACTCTGTTTGATGCTGTTTGATGGAGGGTCAGCAAGCCCACACCGTGATCTACCAGTCACCTGGCTACGGTCTACTGGTAGATCACGATCTATGGGTTATTGACCCCTGCTTTACACAGAGCCAAATCTTTGATCTTTTGCTATGATGAATGGACAAGCAGCACATGATAGTGATAGATTACTCAGTTTAGAGAGAGTCTGGGGCTCGGTGATGGCTGTACCTCCCCCCCACAGGAATGCCTCTAATTTGGGCTTCAAAAGGGGGTGGAGCTTAAACAGGTATATATAGATGCATTTTGGGGACAACAGGGCCACCAAGAACAGGACCAAGTGCCATATGCTATGTGGTCCACTAGGGAATTTAATAATTTTAAAAAATGTAATGCCATTTAATTTTTAACCCTGTTTCAATATACAGATCTTATAGGCGCAAATTGTCACCTTCATATTATCCAATTAATAGTTTAAAATCATAATTAATAATGGTTTCTGATATTTACATAGAGTATTAGTGTGCAACCTGCATGCTTTTATGGAAGCGGGCTCCTAGTAAGATCTGAGAAGAGCACTCTTAATAGTGGTTAATGTGGTTCTAAAGGATCAAGGTTTTTTTTTACCTTTTATGCGTTCTATGCATGATGATAAAAAACCTTCAGTGTGTAAAAGCCTCCCCTACAACTTACCTGAACGCCCTCTCGATCCAGTGATGTCCACGAGAGCCTCGGTTCTCTGGGGACTCTCACTCCTGATTGGGTGAGGCAGAAGTGGGAGCCATTTTAAGGGTACAGTTTTGCAGGAGGGAAAGTTAAATGCTAGGAGACATAAATGTAGGGTACACTTTTTAGGGAGTAGGGCTTTACTACAGCAAGAGTATTCAGGCAAGAGTCTTGCTCGAAATTTCAATACTCTAGCACCAAAAACAAAGGTACCCTTTCAAGTGTGTGTGTGTGTGTTAAACTTAATGGGCGTGTATCTTTTTTTGGTTCAGTCTTACTTTATGGGTATAAAAATGATTTTATCATTTAGTATATTGACAAGAACATATTGCTGAATGTTTAATTTTTCAGATCATAGAATCACTATACCCCTGTTTAGTCATCACACCTTTGGACTGCTTTTGGGAAGGAGCAAAACTTCAGTCTGGAATGGCATATCTACCGTAAGCGTGCAATCCCTTTTTTGTTTTTTTTTTTTTTCTGTTTTTGTTTTTTTGAAAAGAGATTTATTAATCTTATCTTGGATTTTATTTTGGTAGAAATATTGGCAGCAGTTGTACAGATTAGGCAAATCTATGTAAGGTGTGGGACTGGAACCCTTATGTTTTTTTTTTCTTCTTCTATGTCACACTTACTTTGGAGTGTTGTATATTCTGTACTTGGGAACACACTAGTAAAGCCTAGAGCATTTGGGGCATGAACAATAAGGGTTCTTTTTATTTCATTTGTTTAATGAAACAAACAAATGCCGTTTTCATTCCCATCTTAGATTTTACAGTTGAGCAACTTTTATATTTCATAGTCTCGATGCAACAAAGAGTTAATTGTTTTGTGCATTTGGCATGAGAAGGCATTTCTTGGTAATTATGCAAGAGTTCGTGTCTGAGTAATTGTTCATGTCCCGGTTTGCTTGTCTCTGAAAATAAGCAATTTGCAATGGCCATCTCCTGGCCTACAATGTACAGTCCCGTAGGAGAACGTGGAGCGCTTTCACTTTTGTAGCTGAAAGATTTGAAATAATGACTTAAGCCTGGTTGGGCAAATACAGTTTGGCATAGATGACAAAACGAGGCAGCCAAAAAGCCTTTGTCACATGCCTGACTGAAGCTTAAAATGTGCCAGTTCTGTTGGAGCAGCAATAGCCACTGCTGTAGGGGGGTTTGCCAAGTCATCAGGCTCCGTAGTTTGTTAAACTCAGCAAAAAAAAAAAAAAGTATTTTCTTGGCCTGACTGTACTGTTTTTATATTACTTTCTCACAGATATAAACTTGTCATCATTAGTTGTGTTCTTTACCTCCCACTCTGCCTCTTTCTTTTCATTCTTTTTGAACAGCCAGACCAGAGAACAGATTTTATGTTGTCATTTTTGGCTCACTCTGATTTCTCTTTAGAGGTAAACCCACTTTGCAATGGACAAACTTTGACCCCACGGGCTTGCTGGAGGAGTTGAAGAGAGATAAGTTCCAAGTAGACAGCTGGGAGGAAATGCTAAATAAGGCTGAGGTTGGTCACGGCTACATGGACCGCCCCTGTCTCAACCCATTAGATTCGGATTGTCCGCCTACAGCACCCAACAAAAATTCATCCAAAGTGAGTTCAAATATCAGCTACTAGTATGTTACATGTTACAGACACGTTAAATTATTCAATTATTAATGGTTAGTAGCAAAATTCAAGGCAATTTATGTAGTGGAAAAATAAGGATATATTACAGTGGGTTGTAAGCTAAAAAAAGCATATGTCAAATCATAATTAAAAAAAAAAAGATATTTTTAGTACATCTTTGCAGTGCATGCACATTTCTCCATGTTCTATCCCTTTTAAACAAGCTGCAAGTACTGAAAAATACCTGTCGACCCTGCCTGCTTCTTTTCTGATTGATTACAAATAATTCAGTCCTCTTCTAATCTCCCTCCTCTCTCCTTATCTCCAAAACCCCTCAATGTTCACAGGCAGAGAGTACAGGAAGTTATTAGTTTACAAGCTTTCTGCCAAAATCAACTATCATCAATATTTTTTGTACTTATTGAACAGATACAACAGTATTTAATGGTATATTTAACAGACAAAAAGAGAGCGAAGAGAAGTTAATTGCTAGGATTTACATACACCTTAATCGATTTGACATCTCCGCCACTCTCCACCTCATCCAAGCAGAGAAAGCTTTGCATTCCGTTTGAAAATACAAAGTATTCTCTAAATGGCATCTGTGCTGAGTGGCTGACCTCCTGTGTTCACAATACATCAGGCCAGCTACTAAGCATGGGACCCGGAAGCAAGCGGTGATAACTGGAGTAGCGGTGTCTATTTTGAAGTGATTTCAAGCTTCCAGGGCATTGGCAAAGTATGGCATATACATGGTTACATTGGTCCAAGCTGGGAAATTATGTAAAATTCATTTTTAAACAAAGACATCACTAGGCTTCATAAATAGGATTAGACAATTAGAATGAATGATTAAAGATTGAATATTCAGATTTATGCATACTCCATTTGTGATTGGTTCTCCTAAAACTGATGTTTAATCTGCTTATATTTTGATTTCCCTGGTTTCTCCTTTTCCCTTTTCCCCATCGTCAACATGCCAATAACTGCATTTTTAATTAACTTTCTATCTTTATTACCTACCATATTCTAGACATGGTGATGTTACATAGTTAGTCTGGCTGAAAAAAGACAAATTAGATCCAGTTCAACAATTAAAAAAAAAAAAAAAAAGTTATATCCTATACCCACAGTTAATCCAGAGGAAGGCAAAATGTCATCACTGGGTCTCTGTATAATCAAGGCAGATGATGGCTGGTGGGAGGGGCCAGCAGTTTTCTGTACATAGTTTTTTCTGAAAACATCACAGCACCCTGTCTTGGTACTCTTCTCGAGCCATCAGCCCTGATGCAAGCAGTGGGCTGGCTCTTGGTAGGAGTTGTGCAAATGTGAAACTGCTTTGACTGGTGGATGTCCTGCAGGAGTGGCATTCATTTGCAGATGGTATTTGCGTTGAGACTGCCGTATGTAACACACACGTGTTACTGAGCTATGAGTGAAAGATCTGAAATCATGGTGAATTAAAGGAACGGCCCAGAGATAGTAGTGCTGGGGTGGAGGGGGGGGAATGGAGCATGCTCATGGCTTGCTGCAGTATTATTATTATACAGGATTTATATAGCGCCAACATTTTGCTCAGCGCTTTACAATATAACGGAGACAACACAGAGGGATTTGAGGGCCCTGCTCCTTGGAGCTTACAATCTAGGAGGGAGGGGCTAGTGGTACAAAAGGTAGTAACTGTGGGGGATGGACTGGTTGGAAGAGTGGAAGATTCCAGTATTAGCTGAGGGCAGTATCTAATACACTAAGTGAAAATCTCGCAATGTGCAATGAAATCAGACTAAGCTATTTCAGTACAGGTGAGGATCCTGTACAAGGGAAAGATCGAAGTTAAAGATGGAATTTGGCTTTAAATTATCTTGTCTTCTGATAGCTTAAAATGATCTTTTCACAGCCTGCTTTCGGTCACAGTAGATTTACCAGTATAGTTAATTTTGGGGCTTGAACACTTTTTAACTCTGTGGATTTGTAAAGTTTTCTAAGTTTGCTTTATATATATATATTTTTTTTTAACAACACCTCTCGGAAATATTTCTTTTCAGCCTCTAGATGTTGCCCTTGTCTTAAGCGGAGGATGCTATGGTCTTTCTAGAAAATACATGCACTGGCAAGAGGAACTGATCATTGGTGGCACTGTTAAGAATACTAGTGGAAAACTTTTCAGGTAAGAGCCTATGCATTGAGGTTCTGCTCTTTCACCACTGAAGATGCAAAGCAGGCTAATTTACGTATGTAGTGCCAGGGGCAACAATGATACAAAGCATAATAGGTTGCACAAAGTCGTAAGATGATCATTACTTAATCCGTATCCCCAAAGAGGAAAAACTCCAAATAGTGCAGATTCCACAAGGCTGTCTTTATATTATAACCACGTATACAACACTGTCATAAATGCAAAAAATAATTGTGCATGTAAGCTGCTACCTGTGTGATCTGCAGCATGCCTGATGTCTAGAATCTCTGCCTCCCGGATTTTTTTTTTTTTTTTTTTAATTTGGACATTGATTGCCATATGTGATATTCGAAAAGGAGGAGGCTGCTATCCGTTTGATAATCCTGCATGGGGAGTGTACCCTTGACCTCTAGGTTTTAAGATCCAACCTTCCGGTAACCCTTGGGTTCAAATGTGGTGTCCACCCTCAAAATCTCAAGTGTTAAACTACCTAAAACACTTGAGATTTTGAGCGCAGTCGTACACCTTTGTTTCTTTGCACACTCCACAGTGAGTTTTTAGTGACACCAGCTGGATAATTATGAATTCTATTATATTATTATAGGATCTTTAAATTGTGAAATGTGGTGGCGGTCATGATATTCATGAAATTCATGCTGTGGAAATTTTATTGAAGCGAAGTAGAAAAGTTGCACTTCTGAACATCGTGGTGGAGGATTCTTTTACTATATGAAAGTGTGTTACTGCTATCGTTTTATACATTTAAAGATTTTGGGGTTGTGTCTTACTACCTTTGCAGTGATTTTTCTTTTTTATATATATATATATATATATATATATATATATATATATATATTGTGTACCAGCTATTATGCCTTGTGCACCAGGCTGGTATCTCTGGGGAGGGGGGTATCAAGCATTTGTTTTTAATTTTGTATAAAAAAAAAATAAGCTTCACATGAGTTGGGTTGTGGTTGAGTTTTTTTTTTGCTCATGGTATGACCTAATTGGTTAAAAACTTGCAACATTTGCTGTTCTAATCAGCTACAAACATGTATCTAAATTGGCTTTCATGAATACACAATTACATGAATGTGGTGTGATTGCATAGTTAACGAGAGGGAAGAGAGACTTGCACACGTCTGTTTAAACTATAATCACCATTTGTGTACTTCCCGGATTCCTGCAGAGTGTCAAGAGTTTAGTCTGGTACCGCTCTCCAGTGAAGCCAAATATTTAGTGATTGCAGGCAGGTTTCTAGGCATGGCAGAGCAAAATGAAGACTTGTTTTCTAAGTTGTGTGATACTGACCTTTTTACTTTTCCTTTACAAGGGGGGAGAATAAATGACTTACAGCCCCGCAGTGTATAATTTTATATTTCTGTAAAATGTACTTAATTTAGAAAGAGGAATGTTTGAGCATCTACAAGATTTATTGGATTTGCTAATAAAACATGGCTGTGCTTAGTGTAAACCTGGGCTCATTTGTGAACCTTTTTTTTGTGCTTTATTTTATTTTTTTTATATACATTACAGTGCCCAGGCATTGCAGACTATGTTTCAGTTAATGACTCCCAAGCAAATGTTTGAGCATTTCAAGGGTAACGAAGAAGTTCACAACATGAATTGGAATGAGGACAAAGCAGCAGCCATTTTGGAAGCTTGGCAACGGACTTATGTTCAGGTAGAGTGAGATTTAATGTTGACAGAGGCACCCCACAACAACAACTGAATAGTATTACTCATGTGTTTGAGTCTTCTACATTCTTATATTACCCAGCTGTCCCTTGACAACCAGCTTTGATTCCACATGCCAGGTATACTTCTTTCATGCACATGTAAGGCAAAGTCATCAGCAACTGTCCTTGAAGAGAAGCACGGCTTCAAATGTTGACACCCCCCCCCCCCCCCCAATCTGAAGATGCTAGTTATCTAGCTGTTTGTGGCCCAAAACAGGCATGCAGCTAGGGCACCTGATCTGCAAATGTGGTTCTATAATGACACAACAGAATTGACACCTTTGGATTAGCAGAACAGCCAAGCAGGTGGTTTTATCAAAAGAATAATCTAGCAATAGCAGTTTATATATTTTCTGAGTACAACTTAAAGCTGAATTCTAGGTACTACTTTCTTTTTTTTTTTTTTGCATAGTTGCGTGGCCCAGATTGGGCCAGTGAATGTATGCATGTGCTATATGGGGCTGATCCCTGTGGAAGCTGAAAATCACGGTAGTATGCACTGATTGGAGGAGGTGTAGAGGCAGGATGGTGGCATCATAATCTCCACCTTCTCTATTCACAGAGTGCTTTGCCTTTATGGAGAAAATGCAGACTGTTCTTTTGAAAGGTGCCCATACCAAGCAAGCGACCTTGGCAAGAGACCTTGTTCTCTAAGCAGTAGGGCAGCTGCTTGGCAAGAAACCTTGAAGCTAGCATCGACCTTTGTAATAGCGGTGCCTACTATGGTTTCCAGCTTCTGTAGGGATCAGCCAAATATGGCACATGCATACTTACAAGCTAGACCAATGTAACAATGCAAAAAAGCCATACCTGTAATTTAATATTACATCGGGGCTTCTAAGCTGTGTGACTTTCCATGAAAAATGTATGCATTTCACCTACAAGTTCTTGCATAGATGCAGAAAAAGGTTATACTTCCATAAAGTTGTTGTTACATAGTTTCTTTGATGGTGATATCCAATAAGCAATTGAACTGTCAACATTAAAAGGAACCAAACACAAGAATGGCACACACTCTCATGCCTCAAGACAACACATAGAAGTTGATTTGCTTGCATGTTTAAATATGTCATATTACCATCTCACAATGTGCAATAGAGTATTTTTCTAGTATTTATAGTGTCTTGCCACGATGATATTTCCTAATATAGGACACAGGCAAGGGATAAGAGTTGAAATAAAGAGAAAGTGTGACTTGTAAGGAAAAGGTGTCTGGAACACATTAGTGAGCCAAAAAATCTGTTCACAGCTGCAGTCCCATTGGTGAGGTCATGTGACTCTTTTTTTGGCCTTTGTTTCCCAGGCACTGACTTCTTCTGAATTGCATGTGACCTTTGTGAATCAGCCAACCAATTAAAAACAAAGACACCTCTTCCAGGCAATGTTAGAGACCACTGCAGAGCTGTGTGTAGAGGATGAATGATGATTAGACATTGAATGGTTGGGCATCATTCTAGACCATTACGGCTCTGCAAATGATAATGCTCATTGCATTTATTTTAATGTTTGGATATTTTATTCGAGAAAGCTTTTTTTTTTTTTTTTTTTAATCTAAAAATAATCTTAGTGTTGCTTAAAATTATCTTTTGGTGATCAATGTTCCCATATAGGCTTTATAGAGTAATGGAAATCTGTATGTTTGGTCCCAAAATGAGTACGCAAAAAATTGCAACCAATTGTCTTCGAAAAACTGTGTCTACACAGGGATCTGTCAAGTAATCATTTTGTTTTTGTTTGTTCTGATACTCCATGTCATTTTTAGCCCGACTTTGCTGTAAATTAGGGTAAAGGGAATAAATTGTTCCTGCTGGCGAGAGATAGAAATACCAGTACAGGTGTGTGGCCCCCGTATAGTGGAAAATCTTTGAATTAGTGGAACTCCAGCAATTAAAAAAATCATTCATTTTGGATAGAGTGTGGAGGTGGTAGAACCTCTGTTTTGGTTTTTATACTTGTGTCCTTGCTGGCGAGATTTCACCCTTGTCACCTGAAAAGACATTTAGCAGGAATCTTCCTAACCAGAAAGCAATGTTGAGGAAAAAACCTGAATAAGAAAATTAAAAAAACTTGTCTGTCTTGCTATTTGTGTGCCCAAAACAGGGAATTCTTCTCCCAGGACAGGAGAGGGGAGATCTCCTCCCCAGTGGGGACAGAGACTGCTATACAAACTTGGCAAAGGTTATAGATCTTTGCCACTCTACCGGAAGTTATAAAGAAAGCAAATTATCTAGAGGAAGTATTCAAAGTGGAACTACACTGCATCTGAGCACCACAAACCAAAAGCGCCATTTAATTATTTTATTACACAAAGCAAACTTCCCCATCTATCTATGTCTCCACACTTTATTTTGCTGAGAAAAACACCTAGCTTTTCTGGCTTTGGCCATCATGAGTAAGGGCAGATGATTCATGTAGCATTTACTTCTTGGAATCCATTTGTGCTTGGCTCAGGCATACAGGCAGGTGGGTGTGCTTAGCTGAGAAAACCCCTCCTTCTCTCCTGAAGACTCCTGGGATATATGACATAATTTGCCTAGGCATGAAAACCAGGAAGTCAGTGAAGAAATGTAAAACAAAAAAAAGTTTAAAATCTGTAAATATGATATACTTTCCTATCTATTTACTATTGCTAGCAGCATAAATATTAAAAATAGTCCATGTTGATTGAGAGAGTGAAGTTTCACTTTAAGATAGGGTGGAGAACAGGCAGATATGCATGATACATACCACAAAGTAACAGTTTTGTGTATTTCAAGAGGGTCTGCCTTCCTGCCCTTCTGAGGATCTCATCATATCATGCCTAATAATGTTAAGTATGTCATCTTCTGCTTTTTTTTTTTCTTTTAGGCGGTACATCAAAGTGTTCCACAAAACTCCACTCAGAAAGTTCTTCCTTTTACCACAACAAACACTGGACGATATTCTCAAGTCATTCTCCGACGTGAGCGTCATCAGAGTTGCCAGTGGGTACTTGCTAATGGTGAGTTGAGTCTATTGTGGAAGTTAAATGCAGGAAAATTAAGGCATGGGGCTTGGATGTGTAATATGTTAACATGCATGTTAAAGAAGTTGTTCTTCCCCAGTAAACTGCCAAAAGATGGAGGTGACCTGTTGCATTCTAATGTGATATGCTTTTTTACAGCTTGCCTATGCCTGTTTAACCATGCTGAGGTGGGACTGTGCCAAGTCTCAGGGTGCCGTGGGGCTGGCTGGAGTTTTGCTCATTGCACTTTCAGTGGCTGCAGGATTGGGCCTGTGTTCATTGATTGGGATTTCCTTTAATGCTGCAACAACTCAGGTATTATTAACAAATGATTGGCTAGATGCATGATTTGTACAGGTGCAGATTTTCAAATTGTCCAGTGGTTTTATTTTTGTATGCTGCTCTTCAAATCGGAGTTCCAGCTGATTAAAAAAAAAAATAAAAGTCAGAAGGTACAAAAACTGTAGCTGCTGACTTTTAAACTACAGCCACTTACCTGTCCCTCAGTCCAGCAGTGTCCTCACCACCGCTGGATTCACCAGCTGTCTTCTCTCCCTGGTGCCGGCATCTTCAGTGTGGGCACCTGGCTGTGACATCTTGCGGCTTCACAGCCGGGTGCTTACTGTACATGCGTGAGAAGCGCTGCGCTTTGTGAATGGTCCCGTAGTCTTCTGGGACCTGTCACGTGTGCCCAGAAGACTACGGGGAAGGAGGGAGGACAACTTCCACTTCTGATTGCCTTAGGCGATTGCAGCGCAAGTGGGAGTCGGTATCTGTCAAATTCAGGTACCCACTCCCCAAAGGTGCCAATCCTTAACAGGCAGCGGGGGACAATGCATTAAAGCGGAACTTCCCCTCTTGGGTGGAGTTCCGTTTTAAGTCAACGTGTGATTACAAACCAATCAGCACATCACTGATTTTATGCTGCTGTTAATCTAGGATATTTCTTCTGCCATTTAAAGCTATATTGCTACCTTTTAGTATATTAAACCAGAACTTTACCAATAACTTGATAAAGAAATTTGTTTAGGGGGAACATAAATTCCAGATTCATAATTATGCTACCAAAATTAGTGTGTGCTGTAAATTGCCTCCAGCATTATTCCCGTTTCTTCTTGCTGGAGGCTGCCATTTTACTGAAGCCCAGAGCCTCTAAGCAGCAGTACGTATTGAGGCTGTCCACAGATTGGCCTCTACATTTTTGGCAGTGCCAACATATAGAGCACAACTGAGCATGTGCAGAGCGGGGTGAGCCAGTATATTACTGGATTTTAAACAGTATAGGCACTTATTTTAATTTTTTACATGGCTGTACCTGCAAAAGAGGTCAACCTGAAGTCCTCTAGCAGGACTTAATTTTCTGACTAAAGATTCAATTTAACATTTTGCTGTTTGTCTCTGAAGTAATCCTTTTGTGTAAAAAAAAATACTTTAAACTGACCAAAAGACCAATGTTAAAATAGTCTTCTAAGTGAAAGGTTAAATGTAAATCTGTTTGGCTGTCACAAATGTAAGTTAACAAGGTTAGACAGACAAAGATTGTATGCGTGCGTACTGTATTGACTGCCTGCATTGTTCCCAACAGGTTTTGCCTTTTCTTGCTCTTGGGGTTGGTGTCGACGATGTATTTCTATTGGCACATGCATTTAGTGAAACTGGCCAAAATAAAAGGATTCCATTTGAGGTAATTGCAATCTTTCAGATGAAGAATGCCTTTGTTCACACAGGTATTTTTCCAGGAGGCATGCTTTGTTTTATCCAAATTTTTGCATCCTTAACATTTGAATGCTGCTGAAGGAATAATTCCTTGCTCATTTCCAGACTATAAGGATGGTACAGGTCAAATATATTAAACCTCCAGTCTATTAAAAAAAAAACAATAAAAATTAATTTGAGATGAAATTGGTAAACTTTATAAAGCAGTGGAGTTGATTTTCACCAAACATTCACAAGTGGTGAATCAATCACTGTTTAAAATACATGCACCTGGAAGATTCACTTGTCATGAATGTCAGATTAATTGCATTATAAACATTACACTATAAGTCAGAAGCTTCCAGAAGAATATGTACTGGTATAGAAAAAATATATAGATCAGATAATTACTTATTAGTGTACTAAGCTAGATACGGAAATTCAGAATATACCGTGCACATGATCATGGCATGCTGGTTGTTTAGTACTCTTACGACAAACAGGTTTTTGGTACCAAGTACCTGGTGTTAGTAGTTTTATGCACACAGCAGCCCCCATCCTCTTCTTCTCGGGTCCCCCTCCGACGCTCCTGGCCCCTCCCTCCTGCCAAGTGCCCCCAGAGCAAGCGGCTTGCTATGGGAGCACCTGAACATGCTCGCTCCCCAGCCTCTGCTCAGTGTATTCATTCATACACTGAGCCATGGCTGGACCCCACCCCTTCTCTCTTCCCATTGGCTCACTAGCTGTGATTGACAGCAACGGGAGCCAATGGCTCAGCCAATGAGGAGAGGGAGTCCCGGGATAGCCGAGACTCCAGTGCACATTGCTGGCAGAAGATGGGGCTCAGGTGAGTATTAGGGAGGGATGCTGCACAGAGTAGGTTTTCTCCTTCATGCATAGAATGCATGAAGGTGAAAAACCTTGAGCCTTTACAACCACTTTAAGCTTAGCCTGAAATGTAATACTTGCTGTAACATCCATCTACGCCTTAATCGTTAACCTTATCTTATAACCTCACCTTTTAAACTGAACAATTGACCTTAAACTGATCCGAACACAAATACTTTAAGTGCATGTCAGAGCAAAATAAATGAATTTACGGTTCATCTCTGAAATATTTGCACGTTTCCCCATGTTTTGTCATTGATAACGTTAAGCTGTGACTTTTGAGCAATTAAATTGCAGTCTAAGGCACTCAAGTCACATCAAAGTAGTGCAGGAACCTTTTTAAGGTCACTGCAACTTTACGTTGCATAGATTTTAACGGCTTCTATTAAGATACACGAGCTGCAACTCGGGGTCAAAATTGTACTGACAAGTCGCACAAGTGTGAATGGAGCCTAATAGCTAAACTGCAGTAACTGCTAGAAAGTAATGTGTTTTTCATTTAATGCAAAAAAGATACTATGATATTAAGAATATACTCTCTGAATTTGTATCAATATAAATTTTGGAAAGATTCACTGTCATGATGACCACTTATGCAGAAAAGTGAGAAGAAATCGACAATGTTATATTTATCATGAGAACATGTGTGAAGAGGTATCTTTTTCAATGGGGGCACTTCTTTTGGTGACAACGCTCCATAGCGAGTCTTCTTCTCATTTTTAGATTTCCAGTCATCTAGAACAAATCTGTCAAATAGGGACAGCAATAAACACAAGCAGAGGTTCTAACACTCAATCTTTTGAAAAAAAAAAAAAAAAAGTGAGAGGGAGTCTTGGTTGGAGATTTAAGTGGATGAAAAGTGAGAATGAGACATATAAAGAATTCCTGAACCAATTTTACCCAGGACTAGAAATGAACAACAAAACAATATGCCTTTTAAAAGGTATTCTGTCAAAATAGAAATATTGCAGCTGCCATTGCTGACTTGTTTTTGGAAATTGCTTGTTCCAGGCTGATGACAGATTTTGAGACTTGCGTCACTACTTAGTCATTGCCTTGGAACAAGCATGTACATATCAGACATGTTCAAATCTAGTTTGCAGAGGCAGCTCCCATACTTCTATTATGACAGATTCCTTAAAGCCCATTGAGATCCCTGCCTGCGTGCTTTTTTTGTTGCATTAGGCAGTAGCTCCATCATGTGTTTTGACTAGTATTTTCAACGCTTTTTTGAGTTTAGAATTTGAAGTGCTTAGGGTTAACAGTCATTGACCAAAGCTTGTTAATACCTGTTGCCAATGCATTAAAATACATCATAGGCATTTTGATGCACTGCCATTGATTTCTAAGGACTTTCCAACCCACCAGAAAAGGCTATGGCCAGTAAACCATACAGCATACAACATCACATCAGCTAACCAGCACATCTACCTTTTAAAGAAACTACAAGTACAGAAGAATACCTGTTGATATGCTAAAATGCACTCCTGTTTTGGTCTAATACACAGTATTCTGTGGACTGAGTGTTGTCAGCCTTGCCCAGTTTTCACAACTTAAGGACCAATTTATCTGTAGTTCTGAGATGAGGACTAGGAGGGCTAATTACTCTTTGAGATAACACAGGAAGTGGACAGGTAAGAAAAGTTCATTGTTGGCATTTACATGGACATAAAATCCTAGGGCCCAATTGAAGTCCCAGACATTGTAATAACAGCCTCAGTTTTCATAGTCCTATTTCCACTATATCATTCTTTAGCCAGTTGCTTAGTGTGTCAAATATGGCTGAGCATTTCAAAAGACATCAAAATCTGACCAGTGCACTCTAATCTAACAGACTGCTTTAGACACATCCCGAACACATAGCGGTATAGGACTAGAAAGCACAAAGTTGGAAGACCACTGATTTGGGCAGAGAAGGTATTGGTAGTAAACCATACAGTAGAAATTCTGTACCGACATTACTGCACCTACAATGCTTTTACACCGTACCTACAATGCTTTACCGTATATAATAGCATGACGAACTGAGACCAATGGCAACAAAAGATTAGCTTTATTTGCTTAACTAGACCTAATTGCTAAAGTTTGATTACTGTTTTGTTGGGGTGCAACACATTGATGGTCCTTGCATAAGAAAACTTCGAAAATACTGGTGGTTGCAAAACATGAGTTATTTGAAAGAGCCTTTTTTTTATTCTATACTAGGACAGAACTGGGGAGTGCCTGAAAAGGACAGGAGCTAGTGTAGCTCTGACTTCAATCAGCAATGTGACTGCCTTCTTCATGGCAGCCCTGATACCTATTCCTGCACTCAGGGCATTCTCACTCCAGGTAACAAGTTTTCATTGTAAAAAAATTTAAACATGTATTATGATTTACAGGGAAAGTATCATATTTTTATTTAGCATTTGCTTCATATGGTAAAACATTGTTTTGATCTGTGACCTCGATACGGGCTTGTAGTGCTGCTCAAAGCTGGGGACTTTGTTCCCATGTTCTGAAAAAATGAGGGGGGTGCAGGCATGCCGATGTACTCATCCAAAGTAGTGTGTGCAGTAAATAAGTGAAGATGCCACTCTCTCGACCAGCTGGTGTAACACTGAAGTATGGAACGGCCTCAGCCTACATGCCTCCTCCAAGGCCATGGCATTTTGCCCAGCCCAGGAGGGGCAAAACATGTATGGGGGAGTGGTCATAAGGGAGACCTATAGGCCGA